ATAGAAATGAACTAAGGTCTTGCCTCAGGGCTGTATTCCTAGGTCCAGTGGAGCTCTAGTCCTGTGCAGCCTGATTTGGGAGTCAGTCTGGCTGGTGGGGGCAGATTTTTTTCCCCTAAGCCAGAAGCCAGGTCCAGCACTGGGCACTGCTCAGAGGAGCTCTCGTACTCTCACACAGTCTGGACAGGTGGTCCCTTGGTGAGCCCAGTACCATGGGTTGGGAAGCAGGAAACAGAGATGGGAAGATAGCCCCCGCCTTTGAGGTCCTTCCACCCAGGTCTCCTCTCCTCAACCCAGCTGAACAGCCTCCCTGGCTCCTACCCATTCAATGCCGGGAGCCTCACCCCCTACCAGTCGTGACAACCAGACACCTCCCGGCATCTCCTGGAGAGCAGGATCACTCCCCCACCCCGACTGCTTATGCCTTCTGGGTGCCCTGAATCCTGCAGTCCCCCATCCTGTGCTTGAGGAGGGAGCACTTGGTTGGTGCTGGGAGGGGGTCCTGGTGCACACATGGGCTATTCAACAAGGGTAGGGGCCATGCATGTGTGTGCGTGTCCACGGGTAAATACAGGTATATGCAAACAACCACTGCAGATCCCCTGGAATGGGACACTTGAGTCCCAGGACTGAGCAGCAGAATTGGTCTGGGTGCTGGTTGCTGTGGGGGCCTGGGTTGTGCTGGCCAGTGCGAGACAGCCAGGCCCAGCCCCAGCTCAGTCTGCACTCGGGGGCGGGTGCTGGCAATGGGAATGGGGGAAGGAGAGGGACCTCTGAGCCTGAGCTCCTGGCACAGAGGCCTCAGTCCTGTCTTGCCACAGACTGGCGGCCAGCTCTGGACAGCCTATTGCTGCCATCTTCCTTGAGGACAGCCCTGTTTACAGGCCAAACTCCCAGAGGTGCTAGGTGCCAGGGGCTGGGAGGTACCTGGGGAGTTGGCCACCCTGCCCGCCTCACCCTGGGACCCAAGGAGTCTCGCCTGCCTCTAGGAGATGCCACCTGCTAAGGAGGTGAAGCAGAAAGCCTGGGCCCTGCCTCCCTCCCCTTCTGCCAGCCAGTGTCCCCCTTTTGGGGCACTGTCGGGGTTGGGGCAGTGAGGCTTAGTCAGGGGCCAGTCCAGCAGGGGTAAGGATGACACAGAACTGTGGGCAAGACAGACAGACTCTGGAACAAGGATACTCCCCCACCCAAAGGATGGCAGAGAGGCAGCCAGCTGGGGAAGGGGTCTCAGGATTGCCCTCGAGGAGCAGGAGTCAGGAGGCTATAGCCTGATCAAGGAGGACAAGTCTCCTGCATCAACTGGAGCAGTTCCAGGGCTACACAGCTTTTCCCTCCCCTCCCCTACTGCAGATCCATCCCAGCTTCCTTTGTGGCATCCTAGGTGGCCAAGAGAAGAGGGGTCTGGCCTCCATCCTCCACCTCAGTCATGGATGAGGCTTGGCAGGACTCAGGCGAAAGGTGCAAGGAACCAGCTCTCAGAGGCAGATTGTACAAGGTGACTCTACCCCTGTTGTACATGGGCATCTCCCCCAAAGCCTAGAGGAGACAGCAGGCAGGTCCTGAATCCCCGGGCCTCTGCTCCCCCTACCCTCTGTGGGCCTGAGGAGGCAGACTGGTTGGCTGGGTGGGGTCCACTCTGACCACCTCCTCCTAGGCCTGGCAGGGTAGCTGAGCCCTGGGATCCTGGGGCCTCAGTCGTGCAGAGATCACCTTCCAGACAGCAGCCAGGGGACCCAAGGACAGCTCAGGACCTCCAGACCCAGCAGGGAGAGCCCCCAGATTTAGCAAATAAAAATACAGGATGCCACTTTAAAGTTGAATTTCAGATAATGAATAACCTTTCAGTATCATTCTCATGTATATCCCATGCATTAGTATATCCAAAATAATTATTCATTGTTTGTCTGATATTCAAATTTAAATGCATATCCTCTATTTTATCAGCAATCCTACCAAGGGGTAATGGTAAAGATTTTTGTCTTCCAGTGCTAAAAAGAAGCATCCGGACTTCCCTGGTGGTCCAGTGGTTAGGACTCTGAGCTTCCAGTGCCTCATTGCATGGGGCACAGGTTTGATCCCTGGTCAGGGAACTAAGATCCCACATGCCACTCCTAGTGAGGCCAAAAAATAAAAGCAGAACTTGTTGGGTACGAGTGTGTGCGAGTGTGACTGGACTAGGGTGTGCATGTGTCTGTACATGTTTAGAGAGGCACTAAGCCTGCGTCCGTGTGGAGCAGACTGTGTGCAGGTGGAAGTGGATGGAGAGGGTGCATACACAGGAGAGAGCAGTAGGTGCTTGGTGGGGGATGGGGGTGCTGGGACCACTGCAGTACCCTCATAAGCCCCTGCCTTTGTGTGGAGTGCTGGGCCCTTCCCTCCTCAGCTCAGGCACCTGCTCTTCTTGTTCCCACCTGTCTGGACCTCCAGGGACAGGAACCACCAGTCTCTGGTCTTATCAGATCCCCAGGTAAGTGAGGGTCATGGTTAGGGTCATCACTGGGCCCTCACTGGACTGGGGCCTCTGGACGTGAGGCCCGGTGGCAGGAACATCTGATGCAAGTGGCTGTAAGTGTCCCTTCCTGCTGGCTGACTCACAGCCCGCTCCATTCCAGTGGCTCAGCAGTCCTGGGGAGGGAGCCAGGCCCTCTGTCCTCAGTGGGGGTGGGGAGAGGGCAGGGAAAAGGGAAAGCAGGGGCGGGTGTGGCCAGGAGTCATGAGGTGGCTTGCCAGCCTGGCTGTGGGTGTCTCTGCAGCTGTGGAGCCTGCTCTGCTGCGGTGGTTGTGTGGCCTCTCAGGGGTCAGGCACTGAAAGTTTCCTAGGGGGTGCGGGTGTGGGGTTGGGGGCTGAGCAGTGCTGCCCTAACAGCTGGCCAAAGGCTACACTCTGCCACTGAGATAGGTCATTTGGCTTGTAGTCCTCCTTTCTCTCTGGGTCTCAGGCAGTGTCATCCTGGTGGCTCTCAGGGGTGTCAGGTCTCCCACTCCCAGCTCCCCTGACTCCCAGCAGTGATCTGGGCATCACCTACAGGAGCCCTTGGTTTTAAGGAGGGTGAGGGGCTTTCCCAGGAACCTGTGGATATGAAACCTTACGAGGCAGAAGGGACTTTACAGATGAGATCAAGGGCCAAGAGATGGGGATGATCCTGGATTAGGGGGTCAGGCAGTGTCATCACAGGGTCCTTATAAGAGGCGGGGGGGGGGGGGGGAGGGTCAGAGGCAGAGAGAGACGGGAGATGTTGCCTTGCTGGCTGTGAGGATGGAGGGAGGGGCTGCGATCCAGGGAGGCGGCACCTCTAGAACATGGGAAAGGCAGGAGCCGGTGCTCCCCTGGAGTCTCTGGAGGGACCGGCCCTGCCCATGCCTGGATTTAGCCTCATGAGACCAGAAGACTCCTGATCTTCAGAACTGTCAGAAAATAAATTTGTCAGTTTTGAGCCCCTAAATCTGTGGTATTTTATTACAGCGGCCCTAGGAGGCTCATACAGGCACTAACCCCAGCAGCATCCCAGAGTCCCCATTTAGCAGATGAGCAAAATGAGGCAAGTCCAGCCAGGCCTGGAGAAGGCCAACCGATCTGGCTTCCCGGCCAGGAACAGGGACTGGGGACAGGGGCAATGTCTTCAGTGGCCCTTCCAACCTGGACACCTGGGCCCAGTGTCTGCTGACCCGCCAAAGGCCCCAGAAGCCGCTATGGCCGGAGGCGGGGGTTCTGCATGACCCGGGGACTGGCGCAGGGACCAGGTTCCAGGAATGTCCTCCCCCGGTGTTGGATTTGCTTGTACTGCTAAATGCTCGGGCCGATCTGCTGCCTGGCGTGTGACCCGGCCCCTCTGAACCCTCCCCGCAATCTGCAGCGGGACGCCAGCAGCGCCTAGCCGGTTCCCACGCCGTGACCAGCGCCAGGCGTGCCCTCCCCAGACGCCTCCTCCTCATTCTCATACGGGGTCTCCTGGGGCGCCCCTCGCTAGCTGCCCTGAAGTGGCGGTCGGCCTGGGGCGATGGCGGGGGGGTGGGGGGGAGTGGCGTGAACTGTAAGACTAGGTGCCCCGGGGGCCTGGAAGGCCGCGCCTGCGCGTTGGCTCTGGCGTGGGGTCCCTGGGCCCCACAACGGGACAGGTTGCCAGGGCAACGCGTTTGCGTCAACGAACCTGGCTCAGAGCCGGAGCTCCCTGGGAGTGGGAGGCGGGGCCCTGGCGTTAGGCCAATAGAATTCCAGAGATTGAACACAAGGGGCGTGACCGAGGCCTGCTCTCGGGCCAATAGGATTGCTGTTGTCTAGGTCGTGCTAGGAGGGCCACGCCCCTTTAAAGAGACCACGCGAATCTCACTGCGTTGGGTTTGCCTCGGAGTTCAGAGAGTACGACGTGGCTTGGGGTTAGGGGTCTGTTCCCCAGGTGAGCATAGCAAGGACTCGGGGGGCAGTGCATACGGAGCCCGCAGCTCCCCAGAAGGTGCCCCCTGCTCACCAAGCTGCGCTCCCCGCCCAACCCCGCCCGAAGGAGCAGTTACGCCCCAGGGGTTTAGGGCGAATCCCTCGCACCCCCGCCCTCGCCAAGACCCTGCTGCAGCTGGGGAATCAGATTTGTCCCCAGGCCTGGGTCCCTGCATCCATCCCTATTCCTCGAGTGCCAGGAAACATCGCTCACAAGGACCCCGTCTCCACCTGTAGGTCCGGGAGGTTGACCCCTTTGTGCCCAAGTCTCATGCCCCCGCACCATCCCCCCCACTCCCTTCTCAGTTCCCGCAGAGGAAAGCAAAGGGGATCGGTGGTGTGGGTCTGTTTCCTGTGGACTCTGGGAGCAACGTCCCCTCACTCTGGACAGGCCCTCCTGTCTGGTGTCTGGTGGTCCGTGTCAATGAAAGACAAATCAGGAGTAAGAAGTGACATTGGCAGATCCTGAGTGCAGAGAGCAGCCAGAAGTGACCCCTCCACCCAGAAAAAAACACATTCACTTGCACCTTCTGTGTCCCACACCTGGAGTGCCCCCCAGGGGTGGCCTATGGGGCCTAGAGGTGCCCAAGATCCAGGCCTCTGTCATGGCTGGTCCCAAAAAATAGAGAGGGGTGGCTGGGCCCAGAGATCTGGGGAGGAGAGGGACAAAGAGCTGGTTAGGGTCCCTGGTCCATGTCAGGCTTTGAGATGTGGACCCAGCTTCCCCCTGGTGGTCCTCTTTCCTGTCCCTCCATCACCCCTCACCCCAGCACCCCAGAAAACCACTAACCTAAGGTGTCCTGCTTTGATCTTTGTCCTCTGGCCTTGTGAGATGTTAGTTTTAGTGGGAACTGGGTGGAGGGCATCTGGGATCTCGTGGTACCATTTCTGCAACTTTTCTGTGAATCTGAAACTAGTTCAACACAAAGCAATAATGATAAAGCACACCACTGCTACTGCTAAGTCACTTCTGTCGTGTCTGACTCTGTGCGACCCCATAGACAGCAGCCCACCAGGCTCTGCTGTCCCTGGGATTCTCCAGGCAAGAACTCTGGAGTGGGTTGCCATTTCCTTCTCCAATGCATGAAAGTGAAGTCGCTCAGTCGTGTCCAACTCTTAGCGACCCCATGGACTGCAGCCTACCAGGCTCCTCTGCCCATGGGATTTTCCAGGCAAGAGTACTGGAGTGGGGTGCCATTGCCTTCTCCAAAAGCACACCACTAGTGTTAAGTAATCTCTAAATACTTTGTTGCTGCCTGCCCCCCACCACTGACCCATAACAGATGACCTGCAGGTGCGTCACAACCCTTCAAGATGTGCAGCCGGACATGTTCCAGAAGAGCCACGGTCTCCAGCTGTTCTGAAAGGACCTTTCCTGCTTCCAAGCAGGCCCTGTTCTTAGAGGGCTGGCTTTGGTCTGTGGAGCGGGGAGGGCCATTGGCACCCAGCCCCCTGAGACCCTTCTGGTGGGCTGTCTACGATGTCCATACTCTCCAGGGACGCCCCAGCCAGCAGGAAGCTCATCACATATTCAGGATTCTTTGAGGTTTACGAAGGTGCCACTGGGGTGGGCTCTCTGTTTCCAGGGGGCTAGCATGCTGTGCTGCTGGCTGTGAGGATGGAAGGAGGGGCCATAAGCCAGGGAGGTGGTGCCTCTAGAAGCTGGAAAAGGCAGGACCAGTGCTCCCCAGAGCCTCCAGAGAGACTAGCCCTACCCATTCCTGGATTTTAGCCCAGTGGAACCCGTGTGGGATTCCTGACCTCCAGAACAGTGAGATGACAAATGTGTGTGGGTTTTTTTGGCTGTTATCTTGCATCTTCCAGAAGATCTTAATTCCTTGGCCAGGAATCGAACCCATGCCCCCTGCAGTGGAAGCACTGATCCTAATCACTGGACCACAGGGGATGTCCCAAACGTGTGGTTTTAAGCCTCCAAGTTTTGATGATTTGCCGTAGCAGTCACGAGAAACCAACAACCTCAGCCTAAGGTTTGAGCATGCAGGGCTGACTGGCTGTTGCTGCTCTAACAAACTGAAGCCCCTCCTGTACTGGTGTTGGGGGCCTGGACTGAAGGAAGAGCACATTCACTTGAGAGAGTCCCTGCGGGAACTCGCGGGGGCCCCAGACCGGAGCCAGAGGAATAAGCAGGGAGACAGGCTCACACAAAGTGAGGAAACAGGCCAGATGGTGGTGGAAGGGTGGTGGGGCCAGCACATGCCAGGCGTCTTGAGGCCGCCTCCCTGACTCATGGCCAACCAGGTGCCTTGCTCACTGAGGTCAGGACTAGGGCCCAGTACTTGGCCAGAGGGAGAAGTTTCCAGTCACTTGGGCTGGGGGTCCTGGGCTAGGAGGCTTGGTGGGGACCACCTGACTCCAGCTCTACTTTCCAGCAAAGTGCTGAAAGGGTCAAGTGTCCCCATGGGACATCATGGGCTAGGTGCTCAGACAGACCCATGGGAGGTGGGCAGTGGGGGGACCCTGAAAGCCTGGCAGGTGTAGGGAGTGGCGTCCCCCCATCATCTGTTTCCCAGGAGGCCTTCCTGGAGCAGGGGGGATTCAAGGCCCTCAGCGGGGGTAGGGGACAGGCAGGGGAGCCTGGAGCAGAGTCGCTGGTATTTGAAACATCCAGAACAAGCAAACCCACAGAGAAAGTGGGGAATGGAGAGGGGCAGTGACTGCTAGTGGACATGGGACTTCTTTTACAGGGGTGAGAATGTTTTGGCACTGGAAGGAGGTGACAGCTGGACGACCTGTGAGTGGACTGAAAGCCCAGAACTGTCCACTGTAAATGGACGGACTGCAGAGCGTGTTGGCGATGGCTCACCGAGATGCTTGTCAACAAGAGACGTTGCACGACCCAGTGGTGGCTGGTGACTGTGGTGACAGTGCCAGGTGCGCACGGAGAGAGCTCTGCTGTCCTGTTAACTGAGGCTGGACATGAAGGAAACAGCCACACAGCTCATGTTTCCTGGCTGTGACAGGGTGTGGAAGGAAAGGGTCTGGGTGGACAAAGAGGAGGAAACCAGCGAGCATCCGCTGCAGGTCAGGAGCTGTGTGCTGAAGATTGCGCTTTCCAAAAACATCCATGGTGGGGAACAGCCATTGAGAAAATGCCTGCTGTTTCTCACAAGAAAGTTCAGTGTACGTGAGAGAGGACATGGCTCAGAGGTGGTGCTGGTGGGGTCGTGAGGTCGGCAGCACCCCCGGATGCTACCCGGTGGGTCAAGAAATGTGTCAACTTCCTGTGCCAGGAGCATGCCCTGGAGTCTTCACACACGTGAGGGTCCTGCCCCCAGGGGACACTGGGATGACGGTGGGGGGCTCCTGATATCGAGGGGGTGGTGCCAGGGAGGCAGCTACATACCCCACAGTGCCCAGGATGCTCCCCACAGAGGATGATCAGCCCAGTGCCAGCAGCACTAAGGGGGACAATCTGGTCCAGAGAGCCTTCCCAGGAGGGAGGAGGAGGAAGCATCAGGAATGTCTCTGTATGTAAAGTGTTAATTGCTCAGTTGTGTCTGACTCTTTTCAACCATGTGGACTATAGCCCACCATACTCCTCTGTCCATGGAATTCTCCAGGCAAGAATACCATGTGGGTGTCCATTCCCCTCTCCAGAGGATCTTCCCAACCCAGGGATTGAACCCAGGTCTCCTGCACTGCAGGCGAATTCTTTACCATCTGGGCCACCTGGGAAGATCCACCTGGGAAGACCTCTCTAGAGATGAATAACTGACGGCCTTCATGTCATCCAATAGTCACCATCTGTGTTCCTGTCATGTGATGGAGTGACCCAGTATTTCAATGGTGGGACTCACGTCCACTTAATGAAAAACAGCTGGACGGCTCTCAGGTGGCTGCTGCATTCCCACTGCCTGATGGTCATGCCCTGGTGCCATTCCCTCCCAAGTGTGAGCAGCACCAGTGAGTGGGGCAATAGCTATATTGGGTTGTAATGCCTGTCTGGCTCACTGTCTCTCTTGTTGGCTCTGATGAAGCACGTGGCCATGCTGGGGTGGCCCGCGTGGCAGGGGCCTGAGGGCGGCCTCTGGTTGATGGCCAGTGAGAAACTGAGGCCCTCAGTACTGCAACTGTAGGGAGCTGAACTCTGCCAGCAACCACGAGAGCTTCAAATAGAGTAGGAATAGAGTAGGATCCCTCCATAGTTGGGCTTCTGGGTGAGACACGCCCCCTCCAAACCCAGCCTCGCTGCCACCTTAACTGCAGCCCAGGCAGGCGGATGCAGCTGGACAGGGCCTGGACTCCTGCCCCATGGGAACTGTGAGATTGCAAATGTGCACTATCTCAAGTTGTTCTGTGTGTGGTGTTTTGTTATATAGCGCTAGCTGACTAATATAGTGATTTCATTATTATTAACTAACGGCTTCTCTTAAAGACTCATGTTAATACATGCAATCTCTACTCATGAAGGCTGATGTTTACAGAGCTTATATTTCTCGTTTGGTTTGTCTGACCCTACAGTCAGGACACTTCCCTTAAAATCTGGGCTCTTAAATAAACCCATGAACCTATGGGTACCTTATTTTTGACAAAGGAGGCAAGAATATATAATGGGGCAAAGACAGCCTCTTCAATAAATAGTGCTGGGAAAACTGGACAGCTACATGTAAAAGAATGATATTAGAACACTTCCTAACACCATACACAAAGATAAACTCAAAATGGATTAAAGATCTAAATGTAAGACCAGAAACTATAAAACTCTTAGAGGAAAACATAGGCAGAACACTCGATGACATAAATCAAAGCAAGGTCCTCTGTGACCCACCTCCTAGAGAAAGGGAAATAAAAAGAAAAGTAAACAAGTGGGACCTGATTTAACTTAAAAGTTTTTGCACAGCAAAGGCAACTATAAGTAAGGTGAAAAGACAACCCTCAGAATGAAAGAAAATAATAGCAAATGAAACAACTGACAAAGGATTAATTTCCAAAATATACAGGCAGCTCAAAAAACTCAGTACCATAAAAACAAACAACCCAATCAAAAAGTGGGGAAAAGACCTAAACAGACATTTCTCCAAAGGAGACATACAGATGGCTAACAAACATATAAAAAGATGCTTAACATAGCTCATTATTAGAAAAATGCAAATCAAAACTACAAAGAGATATCACCTCACACCAGTCAGAATGGACATCATTAAAAAGTCTACAAACAATCAATGCTGAAGAGGGTGTGGAGAAAAGGGAACGCTCTTGCACTGTTGGTGGGAATGTAAATTGATACAGCCACTATGGAAGATGGTATGGAGATTCCTTTAAAAACTAGGAATAAAACCACCATATGACTCAGCAATCCCACTCCTAGGCATATACCCTGAGGAAACCAAAATTGAAAGAGACACATGTATCCCAATGTTCACTGCAGCACTATTTACAATAGCTAGAACATGGAAGCAATCTAGATGTGCATCAACAGATGAATGGATAAAGAAGTTGTAGCAGCTATCCACAATGGAATATCACTCAACCATAAAAAGGAATGCCTTTGGGTCAGTTCTAATGAGGTGGATGAACCTAGAACCTATTATACAGAGTGAAGTGAGTCAGAGAGAGAAAGATAAATACTGTATTCTAACACATATATACAGAATCTAGAAAAATGGTACCGAAGAATTTATTTACAGGGCAACAGTGGAGAAATAGACATAGAGAATAGACTTATGAATATGGGGAGAGGGGAAGAGAGGGTGAGACTTATGGAAAGAGTAACATGGAAACTTACATTACTATATGTAAAATAGATAGCCAACGAGAATTTGCTGTATGTCTTGGCAAACTCAAACAGGGGCTCTGTATCAACCTAGAGGGGTGGGGTGGGGAGGGAGATGGGAGGGGGTTTCAAAAAGGAGGGGATATATGTATACCTACGACTGATTCATGCTGAGATTTGACAGAAAACAGTAAAATTCTATAAAGCAATTATCCTTCAATAAAAAATAAATTAATTAAAAAAAAATCTGGGCTCTTGGGCTTTCCTGGTGGTCCAGTGGCTAAGACTCAGCTTCCACTGCAGGGGGGGTGGATTTGATTCCTGATCGGGGAAGTAAGATTCTGCATCCTGCA